AATACTTTCTATGGAAGTGCTGGGTCAGAAAGACTCAGCAGTAATGTGCTGTCAATTGATTGGCTGTCTACGGTTTAAAAGGGGAACCTGTCCAGCAGTAATGGGGTGGTGTAGAAGAGTGTGGTCAGAGAGAGATAGATAGAAAGGTCTTCCTATTTGCCTTAAGGTGCAGCCAGGTACAGTGGTACCTCGGGTTACATACGCTTCAGGTTACATCCGCGTCAGGTTACAGACTCCGCTAACCCAGAAATAGTACCTTGGGTTAAGAACTTTGCTTCAGGATGAGAACAGAAATTGTGCTCCAGTGGCGCGGCAGCAGCAGGAGGCCCCATTAGCTAAAGTGGTGCTTCAGGTTAAGAACAGTTTCAGATTAAGAACGGACCTCTGGAACAAATTAAGTACTTAACCCGAGGTACCACTATACTCTGTTTGACTGTATGAACTGCTCGTGTATTATAGCCTGTAGATTATTGTATATATTTGTATATATATAGCTCACAATAAATATACTGTACTGCACTGAAGAACCTGGAACTCTGAGCATTTCTGCTAAAGTGCCGCAGAGAATTTGCGACACTGACATCATGCTTGGATAAACCCAAGATTCAAATAGTTAAAAAGCAAGCAGTGTACTCATTCATTATGGTTATTTATATGATGCTTCTTTAAATGTAGATGGGGCTTAGAGTCGTGTGAGGGGTTGCGCTGCGCTTGCTAGCCCCATGGCCGCCATTTTGTCACTGTTGCCTTCTGCCACAGGTCTGAAGTGGGGAACCCGCTCTGTACATGTAGGCTCGTTATGTGGGTTAGAGCCATGTCTGCAAAGGGTGTCTACATGTACAGTGGTACCTCGGGTTACATACGCTTCAGGTTACAGACTCCGCTAACCCAGAAATAGGGCTTCAGGTTAAGAACTTTGCTTCAGGGTGAGAATAGAAATCATGCTCCGGCGGCGCAGCAGCAGCAGGAGGCCCCATTAGCTAAAGTGGTGCTTCAGGTTAAGAACAGTTTCAGGTTAAGTACGGACCTCCGGAACAAATTAAATACTTAACCCGAGGTACCACTGTACACAGCAGCTCCCTGTTTCAGATCTCCACCCCTAGCACATGGGTGATGGAGGGGAGAGCTATCGTGGGCTGGGCCCTCTTTCCCCCTCCTGCAACTGAGGTGTAGTGGATGGAGCTTGTGACGTGCACAAAAGTATCTAGAAGAAAGTTCAGCACTGGATTCCTCCTCCCATGAGCCTCCGGTTCCTCTTCAAAGCAATCAGCATGGCTTCTGGTTTCCTGCACCTGCCATTCAGCTGAAAGTCATCACAGAAACCAAGGGAGATAACTTTTTATATAGGTCAAATCAATTAAAAAGCTGCTTCTTCCCATTTGGTTAATCCAAGCAGCCATTTAATTGGGGGTCCCAATGTGTCCAATGTAAATGCACGGTTGGTTTTATTGAAGTACCTGTAGACTTGTGACTTGATTTATTCTTTCTTCTTCTCTCCTCAGTGCATTGACTTCCCTGCTTCCTGCTGATGCGATCTTTCACCACGATTGCCAAATGCAGTCTCCTCTATGTCCTAATTATCAGGGTCTTCACATGAAGCAGAAACAAGAAAATTCTCTGGGCTATTTTAAGGTATAAGGAAGACTCTAATACTGCCAAGGTGGCGAATCCACAGGAAGCTGTGGCAGCTCAGAAAGAGCTACGTCTCTTTTGCAGCTGCTTGCTTAATGCAAGGTCTTTGTCTGCGGCACACATTCAAAGGAGATCTCTCTGCTTTCTCAAGAGGCTCCTTGGGGCTTCTCTGAAACTCACATTCTTTTGAGAACAAACTATGACCTTCATAACCTTGGACAAAAACACTATCTCATTCATCTGCCTCCAACTTTCTAAATGTAGACGTCAAATGTCTTCAGTCTTCTGCTCTCAGTAATGGAGAGATCCTTTTATGGTGCTCAGCCTCTCCTGGGTTTAACTTTAGAGAGTTCAAACTCATACCATGCCTTAGTGGTTTGTGGGTGGATGTGACTACAAGCCTTTCGTATGCCTCCATTGTTTCTGTAATTCAGCATGTTGTCAACCATCCACTATTTTTGTGGTCCTCCCCAACTGTGCCCTGAACTATCCTGTTCTCCACCTACTCTGGCTCTACTTAAATCTTGTCTTCTGGTCCAGAGTGTTGCAACCCGGCTCCACGTGTGTCTACAGAACTGGTAGTGATAGAAACAAATAAATTCAGGAATTGCAAATGATTATTAAGGCTGAGTCACGTCCCAGCTGGGGGAGTCCTCATGATAGGAGGCCCAAGAAGCCCCAACTGTACACAAAGTCCTGGCCAGGCTCCACCTAGGGATGAGGAGATGGGATCCTGCAAAGAGCCTGAAGAGGGGCCATCCATGCTACTGACAACAAGGTCAAATGTGTCCCACGTCTTCCAAGATAAAGGCAGTGCCTTAAACAGCAGACAGAAACCTGCTCCATCAGAGAAGTGTCAAGGACCAACCAGGAGTAAAGTCTCCTCAGAGGTAAGACCATCCTCTCAATGGGACCTCTGGAAAGAAGGGTGTTGCCAGGAGTCGGCCAGAGATGCCAGCTTGTGAAGGCGATTGCGGGGGCCAATGGCACGTATATGATGTGACATTGTGATGTCACAGGTCTGACGTATGGAAGTTGGGAGGGGCTGGGGGCGGAGCTGAACTCAATGGCCTCCTCTTGGCACTGCCACCAGTCAGTGGGAATGAACATGCAGGTGCCCAGACTGTCCATTCAGCTTTGCCCAAGATTATCCATTTTTGCAAGGTCCGTATAGTTAAAGCTATGGTTTTCCCAGTAGTAATGAATGGAAGTGAGAGCTGGACCATAAAGAAGGCTGATCACCGAAGAATTGATGCCTTTGAATTATGGTGCTGGAGGAGACTCTTGAGAGTCCCATGGACTGCAAGAAGATCAGACCTATCCATTCTGAAGGAAATCAGCCCTAAGTGCTCACTGGAAGGACAGATCCTGAAGCTGAGACTCCAATACTTTGGCCACCTCATGAAAAGAGAAGACTCCCTGGAAAAGACCCTGATGTTGGGAAAGATGGAGGGCACAAGGAGAAGGGGATGACAGAGGACGAGATGGTGGGACAGTGTTCTTGAAGCTACCAGCATGAGTTTGACCAAACTGCGGAGGCAGTGGAAGACAGGAAGGCCTGGCGTGCTCTGGTCCATGGGGTCACAAAGAGTCGGACATGACTAAACGACTAAACAACAACAATCCATTTTTGCAAAGGATCAGGTTGCCAGATACTCACTGAGTGCCTGAAAGTGTGAAAGCAGCAAGGATCTGAATCTGTCTTAATTTTTCCAGGTAAATTAACAGGGCTTACATGGTAATGAGCCTGTGTCCTGTGGCTACCTCTCCCAGGGAAAACCCTGCAAATTATAATATTAGTGTTCGTATATTCAAGCAAATGAAATTCTACCCACTCCAAAAGAAAATCCCTAAAGGAAGGCAGGAAACTAACTAGGCTAGTTTTAAAACGGAGAGAGGTGATAGCCCTGGTTGCATCTGTTCATGACAGCAAATCATGTTTTAATGATCTTGTTCACACAGGAAAGCTATAAGCACTGGTTCCTGCATGGATCACTGCTTGTGGGAATAGTATCAAGCTATCTGTATTTGCAAGGCCTCCACTGAAATGATTTCATTGGCTGGTGTCCTGGTTTGGAACATGTTTGAATGAGACTCCTTTTTTCCATTAAAAGAGATTGAAGCAGGAGTGTGTGTGTGTGTTTGTGGAAGTTCTGTTAATGGAAAATTGGGGATAGTGCGGCAATAATAGTCCTTCTTCCATATGTTACCTTCAATTAATATTGGTTCATTACTTTTATACCTCTCCAAAACAACCCCAAGCCGGTTAATAATCAAATCCACAATAGAAAACATCCAGCTCATTTTTTTTTTAAGCAACATCACATATCCTCCAACATTTCTCTGATGGAAATAGGGATGTCCTATTCCATAATAACAATGATAATTGTTATTATTTATTCCCTGCCCATCTGACTGGGTTGCCCTGGCCATTCTGGGTGGCTTCCAACACAAATAAAAACGTAAAACATTTTTAAAAATTCCATATACAGGGCTGCCTTCAGATGTCTTCTTAAGGTTGAATAGTAACTTATCTCCTTGGCTTGCGGGGGTTGCACAACTCCATACCCTCCAACATTTCTTTGATGAAAATAGGGATGTCTTAAGGAAAAGTGGGACACCCAGGATCAAATTAGAAACTGGGACGACTTCTGTAAATCTGGGACTGTCCCTGGAAAATAGGGGTGCTTGGAGGGTCTGACATGACTGCTCACCTTCTGGGGTGGGCGACGTTGCGAGCCCTTGTAGCATTCCTGCTAGGGGCGGGGGGTTGACACCCCCTCTGTGCCAGCCCCAGCTGCGTCACCTCCGCCCAGCCAATCCATGTCAGCAGGGGGTGTGGTCACGGGTAATTTAAACCGTGGTGTGGCCAGGGGCTTCCCTCTCTTGCCTCCCCGCCTGATCTCCCTACCCTCCCACTCTCTTTGTAAGCTTTGGTTTGACATGACCTTGCTATGGACAAACGTCAGCCGCTTTGTCGTTGGGGCCAGGTTGGAATTTTTCCAACTGGCGAATTGGCACCAGCCATTTGGTTTTTGCCGACCTACAACTTTGTAAGGTTGGGCATTGGTAAGCCTTTGTTTAGGGACACGGGTGGCGCTGGGGGTTAAACCACAGGGCCTAGGACTTGCCGATCAGAAGGTCAGAGATTCTAATCCCCGCGACGGGGTGAGCTCTTGGTCCCTGCTCCTGCCAACCTAGCAGTTCGAAAGCACGTCAAAGTGCAAGTAGATAAATAGGTACCACTCCGGAGGGAAGGTAAACGGTGTTTCCGTGCGCTGCTCTATTTCACCAGAAGTGGCTTAGTCATGCTGGCCACATGACCCGGAAGCTGTACGCTGGCTCCCTCGGCCAGTAAAGCGGGATGAGCGCCGCAACCCCAGAGTCGGCCATGACTGGACCTAATGGTCAGGGGTCCCTTTACCTTTACCTTTATGTCTTTGTTTAATGAAGGGGAGGTTGTAGCCTCTGCCTGCCCCTCCTCAATAAGGGCATCCTGTTAAAGGGATTTGGGCGTGTGGATCCTGTCCAAAGCCCAGGCGTGGGCTAGGGCCATGCCATTATTCCAAGGGGTACCCCTTGGGGTGCCCCTATTTGATGTATGTCATAGGGGTTTACCCTTAGCTGGACTCCCTGCAGACGGGTGGGAGTTGAGATATAGCCTGGTTTCACCCAATGCCTAACCCAAACCGCTCACATCTGTAGCCAATAAAGTTGTAGCCTGTTTTAGCCCATAATCCAAAATACTCGGGTTGGTGTGCTTATTAATCAGTGGGGAGCTACAGGGCATGGGGCCTTGGGACGCAACAGTGTAAAAAACATAAACAACTCAATAACAGCAGGTGAAAAGTGTAACCAGTAAGAAAACATAACTGAAAGTAAAAATGCAGATGGAAACAGAAGCAGAGACAAACAAATCAACTTGTAGGCCAAATGCCCATTTAAATAAATAGGGGTTTGTCTGGTGGAAGAGGGCCATTCGGCAGATGGTAATGCGACTCTCCAAAGTCTTGACACAGCCCCTGAGACGCCATAGAATCAGATGGAATGAGATTTTGAAACCCACATCCTTTCATGTGGAACAAGATTTTTCAACTGCTGCTTAGAATCAAAAGGGTTGGTTGCCTATAAACTGTTGTTGTTGTTTAGTCGTTTAGTCGTGTCCGACTCTTTGTGACCCCATGGACCAGAGCATGCCAGGCACTCCTGTCTTCCGAGCACGATTCAAAGTGTTGGTGCTGACCTTTAAAGTCCTAAAAGGCCTCGGTCCTGTATACCTGAAGGAGCGTCTCCACCCCCATCGTTCAGCCCGGACACTGAGATCCAGCGCCGAGGGCCTTCTGGCGGATCCCTCATTGCGAGAAGTGAGGCTACAGGGAACCAGACAGAGGGCCTTCTCGGTAGTGGCGCCCGCCCTGTGGAACGCCCTCCCATCAGATGTCAAAGAGATAAGATGTCTTCTGAATGTCAGGTAATTATTTAAGGCAGCCCTGTTCAGGGAAGTTTTTAATATGTAACGCTGTACTGTTTTTAACACTGATTGGGAGCCGCCCAGAGTGGCTGGGGAAACTCAGCCAGATGGGCGGGGTATAAATAATAAATTATTATTATTATTATTATTGTTATTATTACACTGCCTCCCAGTTTGGTCAAACTCATGCTAGTAGCTTCCAGAACACTGTCCAACCATCTCATCGTCTGTCGTCCCCTTCTCCTTGTGCCCTCCATCTTTCCCAACATCAGGGTCTTTTCCAGGGAGCCTTCTCTTCTCATGAGGTGGCCAAAGTATTGGAGTCTCAGCTTCAGGATCTGTCCTTCCAGTGAGCACTCAGGGCTGACTTCCTTCAGAATGGAGAGGTTTGATCTTCTTGCAGTCCATGGGACTCTCAAGAGTCTCCTCCAGCACCAGAACCATAACTACTCTGCCCAAATGGATGGCCGTGCTCTCCCACAATATCAACATAGGAAGCTGCCTTAAACTGAGTGTGTTGTCTTTATTGGCTGGCATTAGCTCTCCAGAATATCTCCCAGTGCTTGCTGGAGATCCTGGGGATATGATCTAGGCCCTTCTACATGCAAAGCAGAGGCTCTGCCACTAATCTGTGGTCCTTTCCCCAACCAAGTGGACTGGGAACGTCCAGCAGGTTTAAATATACTGTCCACCTGGGTGCCAGCACATGGAACAGCTCTTCACTGATACCATCTCCACATTCATGCATTCTAAGCATATGAAATTTAAGCCACCTGGGACAATAAGTGGCGGATGTTATCATGCAACCCCAATGCAAATTTGCAATTGAACTGTTCCTTGCACTTTAAGCTATGTTTGTGCCTTGATTGTTTGCTATATTCTTTTTTCTTTTCTTTTTTTACAACTAGAAAAGTGATCTTGCTCTGAGGATTGGTGTGTGTGTGTGTGTGTGTGTGTGTGTGTGGAAAGTAAAAAAAACAACAACCCAAACTGAAGAATGTTGACAAATTAAATATTGATCTGGTTCTGCATGCTGAGAAAAACAACAAAACGAAAAACCCAAAGCGAAAGAAAAAGACGGAGAGTGCAATGATTCATTTGCTAGTGTGCTGGAGGTGATGCCAGAAGCATTAATGAGTTTAACTGTTTGAGTGGTCCACTTGGGGTGCTGTCAGATAAAAAATGCCTCGAGAGCCTTGGGATAGAATTGGAATCGAGAGGAGCCCATCCCTTATGGTTGACACATGAACGGCAGTCTCCCTTGAGCTGAATTATACAGGCCAGAGTCAGATGTTATATATGGGGACAGGGAAGAAGGATTTGATGGTCCAACGTGTTCTGAGATGAACGTCTTATCATTCCCTGAACAGGAGCTTAGTCTGATTATGCTGCAGGCATGCTTATGGCATAGACTGGAACTATGATCCCTATGCTTTTGAATTATGGTGCTGGAGGAGACTCTTGAGAGTCCCATGGACTGCAAGAAGATCAAACTGATCCATTCTTAAGGAAATCAGCCCTGAGTGTTCACTGGAAGGACAGGTCCTGAAGCTGAGGCTCCAATACTTTGGCCACCTCAGGAGAAGAGAAGACTCCCTGAAAAAGACCCTGATGTTGGGAAAGATGGAGGGCACAAGGAGAAGGGGATGACAAAGGATGAGATGGTTGGACAGTGTTCTCGAAGCTACCAGCATGAGTTTGACCAAACTGCGGGAGGCAGTGGAAGACAGAAGTGCCTGGCGTGCTCTGGTCCAGGGTGTCATGAAGAGTCGGACATGACTAAACAATTAAACAACAACAACAATGATCCCTAACAGCATTTAGAACACAGGAAGCTGCCTTATATTGACTCAAACCATTGGCCCATCTTGCTCAGTAATGCCTACATGGATGACCAGCAGTTCCCCAGGGTTTCAGGTACGGGTCTTTGTGATTCAAGGACCCGCCACCCACTTGTGAATAAGAAAGACACATGGACATGGTATATTAGGTCAATGGGCTAAAAAAAGGCCACAGCTTTATTGATTACAGCATATGAGAGGTATTGGCTTAGGCATTGGATAAAACAACAGAGCGTGACTCCATCCCCTCAGGGAGGGTGAGTCTATCAAGGATTAACCACCAATGGGAGGAGCCTGTTGATGCAAATACAACTGAAAGCTCCCCCTGATGTCACCGGGGGTAGTGCCATGGCCCTAGCCACCAGCAAGGGCGTCGGACAGGATCCACGACCGCTGGATTCCTTTACCGGAATACCCATAAAGAGGAGGGGTAGGTGATAGCCACACCCTGCTCTCCAATCCACAAACATATTCCAATACCTAACTGCCAATACTAAAAGTTGTGATGATTTGCTATGAGGTAGGCAAAAAACCAAGTGGCCGGTGCCAATTTGCCAGCTGGATAAAAATTCCTACCAGGCCCCTTGGACAACCAAGGCGTCCAACCATAGGTCCATAGCAATGTCAAGAACCAAGCAATGAACTAAAGGGAGGGTGCATGGGTGATCCGACGAAAACCAGCAGCAGAATGAATAGGAAGCGCTGCCGCAGCCGCGTTTGGGCGGCTAAACTCCACCCCCAAGCCTCAACCTGATTGGTTGGCTGCCTGGGGGCGTGGCATGGCACCGAAACGCCCCCTGCCAAGGCGTGAAATGGCTCCCACTCACAACTCCTCCCCTCTGTAAGGAGGAGAGGCTTTCCTGTCACAGAAGCATGCTGGTAAGTAATCAAACTGTTCAAAGCTGGATATTCATTAGCAAAAATACAATCCCCACAGACCTGGCTGAGTGTCTGTTCTAATGAGCACAGCAGCTCATCCCCAGTGATCTTACTCCATGAATACCAGCTGCCGAGACTGAAGGTCTGCACCTCCTCACAACCAAGTTCCCTCCTCTCCAGGGCTTTCCCCAAGCAATCAGAGACTGAGACTGCATGCAGCCTGCTGCCTCCCTCCTTGCCTGCTTTAGCTTCTGCCTCCGATTCTGAACTTATTTCTGCCACAGACTCTCCCAGCTCACTAAGCCCTGTTGCCTCCTCATCTTCTGACACCTCTCCCCCATCTTTTCTTTCTTCTTCCTCTGCCCATTCATCATTGTCCCACCACCACTCCTCTTCCCTTGGTGGTTCCTTAGCTGGTTCCTCCCACCACTCCTCTGCATCCAACCAATCCATGATCCTTCCCAACCCTACCAGGAGATGCTGAGGATTGAGCCTGGGACTGTATGCATGCAAAGCAGATGTTCTACCATTGAGCTACCACCCTTCCCTAAAAGGGAACATAGGAAGCTGTCTTCTGCTGAGTCAGACTGGTGGTCCAGTGGTCCACACTGATTAGTAGTGGCACTCCAGGGTTTTAGGCAGAAGCATTTGCCAGCCATATCTGTCAGGAGCTCATCCTACACTCGAGTAGGACCCTGGCAGAGACACATGCCCGACTGGCATGTTCTCTTCCTCCTGGTCGATCGTTCGGGAGCTTTTCAAAAGCTTTCTTTCTTTTTTGGGGGGGGGATTGTAGGGAAAGACCTGCCAAAAAAGTTGAAAAACATCTTCATGTATGCGACAACGGCCGCCAGAGTTCTGGTAGCACAAGGATGGAAGACTGAAGAAACCCCAACTAAAGAATCATGGCAAGAAAAATGGATGGACTATGCAGAACTGGCAAAACTGACATACAAGCTACAGGACAAGGATAACTGTGACTTTAAGGATGAATGGGAACCTTTTACAAAGTATCTGAAGATGCAACAAAGCGAACTGGACTCCTTGGCAGGTTTTGAATAAACATACACAAACTTTTTATTGATAATAATCAGCTAAATAGTTTGAGGATCTATACAACTTTGTAACATGCAGAAAACAGCATTCTTAGAGAAACCAAAGACTGAGGGAAGTCGGGGGGTGGGAGTGGGTGGGTTTTGTGTGGGAGGGGGGAGGAGGAAAAATGGGGGGGAACAAGGATGATATGTTTTTGGATAATATGTCTTGTTATAATTTTGAATAAATAAAAACAAAACAAAACAAAACAAAGCTTTCTTCAGCCCGAACATCACATCGACTGATGCCAAGAGACATCGGCACACTTAGGGATCCGCAGAGTCTTTGCAGCTTGCATGACAGACCTCAGCAACTCAGCATTTTGGCTAATCTACTTTATTTACATATAGACACACACAGAGCACTGCAACATGGCTCCCTCTCTCTCTAGCATCAGACAGCAAAGAGAAAAAGCACAAAGGACAATAGTCCCACTTCACGGAACACAGTAACACAAACATCCTTTCTCCGTCACTTCCCACTCTGTGGAGTCAAAACATACACCGTCATGTGATAGACAACAATCCCATGACTGCAATAATGGAGCAGGAATTCTAACTGCAATCATGGAGCAGGAATTCTGAGACCTTCTGCATGTAAGACCTGAGCCATGGTCCTTTATTCTACCGTGGGGCTTCTTCACACAAGGTATTTTCTTTTGGAAAAATCCCGTTTAGAGTCACAAAATAGATCCTTGCATTAACTTCACCCAAGGCCAGTTTACACCAGTGTACAAACACAGGTGAAAGATAGGCAGACGGATACAAACACACAATTTATATCTGCAAAATATATCTTCGTTCTTCTCCAACATGTGGTATTTAAATTTATATTTATTTTTGAAAGTACAAAATGCACATTGAAAATATATTTTTTGATTTGTGTTTTGAACTGAGGACAGCATTGGAGCATTTGGAGAAAGGCACTAAATGACGGTTTCCCCACTCCACTTTTGCAAGGAGAAAAAGGAAAAAGAAAGAAAAAGAATATATAAAACATTTTGAAAGGCAGAGGAAAAACAATGTGACAGTAAAATTATAATAATAATAATGATGATAATAATGAAGAATAATAATGATTACAGAACTAGATAACATATATGTAAATGGACGAACTTATTGTTTCCCTCAAATATACATTGATTCATGTGTTGTTATGGTTTCAATAAATACAGTCCAAATATCATTACATTTGTCCATACATAATCGTTGTCTAAAAGTGATCCGTTCATCGGTTGCAAGGGTTGCCATGTCATCTATTCATTGATCAAAAGAGGTCATATTTTTGTCCTTCCAATGTATCAGTATCAATCTGTTTTGCAGATGTAAGGGCACAGAGAATCCATTTACAGTGACCCTTCCCATTTCTTTTCTGAGTATAATTTGCAGTTCTTCGTGTGCCAGATGTCTGCTGCAGAAGGTCAGTTAAACACCCAGTTGTTCCCAAAACTCAGCCTCCTTCCCTTGCTGTAAAACGCTCATCTTGCCATATACACTGGCTGAAATAAAGTGTTGCTGATTGTCTGGATGTTACTGTAGACAGCAGGGCAATGACACAGCATGGGGAGCCTGTCAGTTTGTTCACAGGCTTATTATCATCTATGTGTGCTTGCCAGAACCTCTCCAGACAAGGGTAGAATCTCAATTCTGCCTTCCACAGATTTCGCTTCTATTGATGTGGCATTTAAAAACAAAGCAAGTCCGCTCCACTTCACTGTGGGGAGGAGTTGCGGTGGACTGTGTGGTCACCCACTCTCCTCTGGGGGCGGGGGACGAAGTTCCGCATTGCCCGGGGGATCCCAGCCGCGTCAGCGGCCAGCCAGCCAATCCGCTGGCTAGTGGAGTCGTGGCCAGGACCATTTAAGAAGAGGCACGAGTCGGAGCGCTTCCTCTTGGCTCACTTCCTCAATCTCCCTCCCTCCCTCCCTATTTTGCAGGCTTTTCTTCATTGGCCTTGCTATGGACCTCGGTTGGTCGCCATTAAGGGTCCTGGTAGGAATTCTTTCACTAGACAAAATTGGCATGGGCCATTTGGTTTTCACCTACCTCGTAGCAACCGTCACAACTTTGTAAGGTTTTGCGGTTAGGCATTGTTTGACCTTATGATGGGGGAGGGGAGGTGTGGCCATCACCTGCCCCTCCAAGCTTAAGGGTATTCCGTTAAAGGAATCCAGGGGTGTGGATCTTGTCCAAAGCCCAGGGCAGGGCTAGGGCCATGACACGACCCCATCGGGAACCCAGGGGGAGCTCGAGTTGGTCTGCATCGACGGGGCTCCCCCTTCTGGTGGTTTACCCTTACTGGACTCCCTGCGCAATGGGCAGGAGTCAGATATAGTCGGGTCCATTCAACGCCTAAGCCAATACCGCTCACATTCTGTAATCAATAAAGTTGTGGCCAAAATTTGCCCAATAACATTAACCTAATATCTGTGTCCTGGTGTGTTTTATTCTTCAACAAGGGGGTGGTTGCGGGGTCTAGACATGCAAAATGAAAAACAGGATGCAATGAATCTGGGATGTATTTGATGCTGCTTCCTGCCCAAGCCCCATTTAAATGAGTGAGCAGTGGGGCGTGTGGACAGGAGATGTCACAGCTGGTTTTCTCCATGAAATCTGCCCCAAGGTGCCTTCTTTAAGGCTAGCTGCCTCCATGACAGATACAGGAAAATGATTGTGCTGTGATTATCTGAAGGAGCATCTCCACCGCCATCGTTCTACCCGGACACTGAGGTCCAGCACCGAGGGCCTTCTGGTGGTTCCCTCACTGCGAGAAGCCAAGTTACAGGGAACCAGGCAGAGGGCCTTCTCGGTAGTGGCGCCCTCCCTGTGGAATGCCCTCCCACCAGATGTCAAAGAGAACAACAACTACCAGACTTTTAGAAGACATCTGAAGGCAGCCCTGTTTAGGGAAGCTTTTAGTGTTTAATGTATTGCAGTATTTTAATATTTTTTTGGAAGCCGCCCAGAGTGACTGGGGAAACCCAGCCAGATGGGCAGGGTATAAATAATAAATTATTATTATTATTATTAACCTGAGTCACTGTGGCTATTGGAAGACTACCAAGTCACTGTGGCTATTGGAAGACTACCAAGACAATGTTATGTTATATGTTATGTATATATAAAATATATAAAAATAAATAAATTTGGCTGATATGCAAAGTAGCAGAGTAGCTTACAACTAGGAAGCTAAATAACTCTTCTAAGTGATTGAGAGCTTCTTTATAAAGACTATACAATGTCCAGACTCTTTACATTCAAAAGAACCTTACTTTCATAAACATATAACTGAGATGAATATATTTGCAATCCCATGCTCATGCAAACATGGGTACATTCTCACTTGAATTGTAGATTGAAGTCTTCTCGTGTGGCAAGGTCCCAAACCCTCCCAGGAAATGGAATAAAGACGCATGAAACAGTATTTTAGGTTAATGGGTGAAAAAGGCCACAACTTTATTGGTTACAGAATGTGAGTGGTATTGGCTTAGGCATTGTAAACCACACGACTATATATGTCTTGGAAGGGTTAACCACCAGTAGGCGGAGCCCTGCTGATGCACATCAACTAGGAACTCCCCCAGGGTCACTGCTAGGGGCGTGCCATGGCCCTAGCCCCCCGTCTGGGGCTTCGGACAGAGACCACGCCCCCCGGATTCCGTTAATGGAATACCCTTGAAATAGGAGCAGTAGGTGATAGCCACTACCTCCCCTCCCCTTCAACCTAATACTCCAATGCCTAACCACCAAACCTTACAAAATTATGACGATTTGCTACGAGGCAGGCGAAAAACCGGTGCCAGTTTGCCAAGTGGGAAAAAATTCCTACCAGGCCCCTAGGACAACCAAGGCGACCAACCGAGGTCCATAGCAAGGTCAAGAAATAAAGAGCCTAACCTAAAGGAGGGAGGGCGGGAGAACTGCCCAAGTAGGGAGAAAAGGGGCGAGTCCTCAGCTGTGGGCAGTTGAAATAGCCTGCGATACGCCCCCAGACCATCTGGATTGGACGGCCTAGGGATGACGTGGCCGAGGACCAACCAATGGCGCAGGGGATAATCCGCCCCATGCGCGTGGGCTAGCTCCCAGCCCGCAACATCATTTCCCCGTGAACGGGAAATGGCTTTACTTGGACTTATAAACAAAACTGTGTTGAGACTTGCATCAGAGTTCTACTTCGTTCAGGCCTTACAGTTTCTTATGAAAGGTCTTTACGTTCATCTTCACAGTATTCCCTTTGTTCCTCACAGAGACATCCTGCACAGGTTTCTCCCTATCAACATTCAGGGATCTTCCTCTGTCTGTTTCACTTCAGACAGATCACACTAGCACAACACAGCAGTATCCCGAGAAGCCTCTCTTAGCAGCCGTTTCCCCTCACAAACAGAGAAAAAAGCAGTCAAAAACAACAGTCCCTGGAATAACAGTCACACAGAATGGAATGCCTCTCTCATGTGACTCACAGCCAATCACACAAGAGCTACTGCCAGAGGGGGTGGGAACCCATGTTAAAAGTAGGCAGCTATTTAACATAAGTAATCATTCCCTTTTCAAGAAATTAAATCATTATCCTTAACAGAGAAGTCACTGTGATGCTGGTGTGTGTGTCTCTCTCTCTGTGTGTGGAGTAACATGTTTTGATGCAGGACAGCCCAGCTCTCTATGGGTGAGTCATGAGGATCATTTGGTTAGCCTATGTCAAGTCTGTCGCCCACTCTAACATCAGCCTTGTTAATAAGAATCATGAGAGAAACATACCCTTTCTTGAACCAGAGGGAGTTTATAGGGAGCTAATGCTAAATGAACTAAACCATTAATTACCAGTTAGCAGTCAAGAAGTCAGGCAGTTAGTAGACTCTTCCACCCTCCTGCAAGGTTAAAGCTTACTGGGAAATGATATACAATGAATTGAAAAGGATGGCCTCTCTCTCCTTCAGGTGGGTTGGTACCTTGGCCAGTTTCTCTCTTGCTGGGAAGGACATCCGAATGGGGACACATGGATTAGTCTGTATCCTGGCACCAGCGACTGGTCACAATGGCCAATCTCCTTCAAGCAGGTGACATCAGCATATGGTCACAGTGGCCAGTCCCTGTCCTTCAGGTGAGGATCATCAGCATGAAGTCACAATGGCTGGGGGCTTTTTCAAGCAAGAAGCAGCAACATGAGGTCACAGTGACCAGTTTCTGTCTTTGAGGCCAGTGGTAACATCATGTGGGGAGTACATTGGTCAACCTTCATCGGAGCAGGTAACAGGGGACACACTGCCCTACTCATGAAGGCAGGCGGAAGCAGGACTGTATGGCTGCTGTAAATTTTATATGCATATAAAATTTATAGTATGTTATGGTTTAAGAGAAAATTATATGAAATTATATGATAATTATATATTGCAAGTGGTGCTGTGGGTTAAACTTCAGAGCCTAGGACTTGCTGATCAGAAGGTCGGCGGTTCGAATCCCTGCGACGGGATGAGCTCCCGTTGCTCGGTCCCTGCTCTTGCCAACCTGGCAGTATGAAAGCACATCAAAGTGCAAGTAGATAAATAAGTACCACTCCAGCGGGAAGGTAAACGGCATTTCCGTGCGCTGCTCTGGTTTGCCAGAAGCGGCTTAGTCATGCTGGCCACATGACCCGGAAGCTGTACGCCGGCTCCCTCGGCCAATAAAGCGAGATGAGCGCTGCAACCCCAGAGTCTGCCACGACTGGACCTAATGGTCAGGGGTCCCTTTACCTTTAACACTGAGTTAACTGGCAAAAATGTGTTGGAAATATAAGGAGAAAGAAGGTTCTTTTTATCATATGTGGTGGTCTTGTATAAGGTTAAAGCTTACAGGGAAATGATATATAATGAATTGAAAAGGATGTTCAAAATAACTTTGGTTAAAAAAAACCCAGAAGCTTTTCTTTTAGGAATTACAGGGACAGAACTACCTAAACTGTATAGAAACTTATTCATGTATGCTACTACAGCGGCAAGAATGTACTCACCCCAAAATGGAAAGAAGCAGAAGTCCCAGCAAAGGAAGAATGGATACAAAAACTTAGGGAATATGCAGAAATGGCGAAACTTACTGGAAGAATAAGAAATCAAGGTAACAATTTTTTAAAATAAAAGAATGGAAATGATTTATTGAGTATTTACAGATAAAAAACATTGGCAGGATTATTGTAACAACCTGCAATTTTATAAGAGTATATATTTAAGAAAGAATAAATGAGCAAATTAAGTTAATTTTGGATATGTGGAAGATATTAAAAACAAATTTAAGGAAGTCAAGTTTTGAAATTTCAAAATGATTGTAAAATTGGTGAAACGTATAAAATTAGTGAAATGTATAAACTTGAAAAGAAAGAAAGAATGAGTGAGTGAGTGAATGAATGAATGAATAAGATGACAAGTCTATAGATTATACAGCTCTACTGGTGACCAGAAGGGACGCGGGTGGCGCTGTGGGTTCAACCACAGAGCCTAGGACTTGCCGATCAGAAGGTCAGCGTTTTGAATCCCCGCGACGGGGTGAGCTCCCATTGCTGGGTCCCTGCTCCTGCCAACCTAGCAGTTTGAAAGCACGTCAAAGTGCAAGTAGATAAATAGGGACTGCTCTGGCGGGAAGGTAAACACGTTTCCGTGCGCTGCTCTGGTTCGCCAGAAGCAGCTTAGTCATGCTGGCCACATGACCCGGAAGCTGTACGCCGGCTCCCTCGGCCAATAAAGCGAGATGAGCGCTGCAACCCCAGACGGCCATAACTGGACCTAATGGTTAGGGGTCCCTTTACCTTTACCTTTACTGGTGAGCAGACCTGCATTAGACACACCTGGATTTAACATGTTTACAGTGGTACCTCGGGTTAAGTACTTAATTCGTTCCGGAGGTCCATACTTAACCTGAAACTGTTCTTAACCTGAAGCACCATCTTAGCTAATGGTGCCTCCTGTTGCTGCCGTGCCGCCAGAACACGATTTCTGTTCTTATCCTGAAGCACTATTTCTGGGTTAGCGGAGTATGTAACCTGAAGCGTATGTAACCTGAGGTACCACTGTACTATACTTACATATTCATTACATTTATATCCAACCTTTTTGCCCTAGGAGTTCAAAGGGGCATGTATGGTTCTCCCCATTTTATCCTCAAAACAACCCTGTGACATTGTTTAGGCCAAGAGAGAGACAGAGAGACAGAGAGAGAGAGAGAGAGAGAGAGAGAGAGAGAGAGAGAGAGATGGAGCATGACTGGCCCACACTCACCCAACAAGCATCATGGCCGACTGGGGACTTGAACCCTGGCCTCTGATGTCCTAGTCCGACACTTTAACCAGTACACCAGACAGCCTTGTTTCAAAGATCCAGTGTGGTATAGTTATAGTAACTGGAGGGTATTGTGGTTGAGCGTTGGATAAGGTTCTGGGTCCTGGTCCTTTGGCCATGGTGGTTTAGGGCCTGTCATAGTATCTCAGCCTGACCTCACAGGGCTGGTGTGAAGATGCAAATGTAAGGAGAAAAACCTCTTATACCATCCCCAGCTCCTTGGGGGGGGGGGAATAAAAAAAAACGGGCAAAATTGAAATATAAGAATGAAAGAAAAGCTTCGCATTATGGGGTCCTTGAAATCTTTGAGAGGCAAAGTGTTCTGTTTTGGTGTAAAATGTTGGCACAGTATGGTTTATATTTCTCTTTCTGTCTTTCAGATTCAGGCTTTTTTTCATATTAAAAAAAATAATAAAATGTGTTTTTAAGCTTTCTCACTTAACGCTTGGGTGCCTTTGGAATTGCTTTATTCACCGAGAACAATGCCTGTCTTGCTTGAAATATCTGCTTAAAATTGCTTTGGAAACGGCTGCCTTGAAGGCCAGCCTCCATTAGGAATTAGTTCTTTCTTTCTTTTTAATAGTTGAGCCAGCTAAACACAGGTTAGCATTCTGTAGGAGACAGGACCAGATAGATCCAGCTCGCACAGGTCAGCAGCTAGCCCTGGGGAAGTTCAAACACATTGTACTGAAAACCTGGTTCTTCCTGGGTGAGCTTATGTAACTGATTCCTGCAGCTACAGGCTCCTCTTCTATCAATATCCTCATTTATCTTTGATATTCCTGACACCTGTATGACCCGCTGAGGGCATCCTTCCTCTGAATATTCACAGCCACGTCTCCTTTTCCTAGAAAACCCATTGCAATCCTCTTCCTGCTGCTACACTCACTCAAAAAAAGAAAGGAGTTTGTAATTTCAAGATCTGTCAAGTGAAGGGCTCGTGGTGCAGGTTAATGGTGGCATAAAAAACCCATGGAAATCCTGCTGGGAATTCGCTTGGGTTTCCTTCCAATGGATCGAGAGGATAGTGATGTAATCCATGCATCTCAGACAGAGGACAAGAGCTTAGGAGTTAGGAGCTGAATTGAACCATGGAAACAGTTTACACAATCAGGGCCTGCAATAAAATGCTGCAATGTGGAGCAATCTTGTTCACTATTGCCACCTGTGCTGTCTTCCATTTGATGTCCTCCAATAGCCCGTGAACATTCTGTGGCCACAGAGCATGCTCAGTCTTCACGCCTATGTCACTTCCACTCACCTTGGGAGGAAATTGGCAACCAAGCTTTTTGATCTACTCAGTCCACACGTGAGTTCAGTGTGAATTCTGAGCTGCTCCCTGCAGCTGCATGGCTTTAACCAGCCTCTTTGGTTTCAGAAAGAATGGAGTCTGAAACTAACATTTCCCTATACTTAAAGTTTAGGAAGTTTTGCCTAAGCAACAAGACAAGAAGCTGTAGTTAGAACTGGATATGGAACAACTGATTGGTTCAAAATTGGGAAAGGCGTATGACAAGGCTGTATATTGTCTTCCTGCTTATTTAACTTATATGCAGAATTCATGATGCGAAAGGCTGGGCTGGATGAATCCCAAGCCGGAATTAAGATTGCCGGAAGAAATACCAACAACCTCAAGATATGCAAATGACACAACATTGATGGCAGAAAGTGAGGAGGAATTAAAGAACCTTTTAATGAGGGTGAAAGAGGAGAGCGCAAAATATGGTCGGAAGCTCAACATCAAGAAAACGAAGATCATGGCCACTGGGCCCATCACCTCCTGGCAAATAGAAGGGGAAAAATGGAGGCAGAGAGAGATTTTACTTTCTTGGGCTCCATGATCACTGCAGATGGTGACAGCAGCCACGAAATTAAAAGACGCCTGCTTCTTTGTAGCAAAGCAATGACAAACCTAGACAGCATCTTCAAAAGCAGAGACATCACCTTGCCAACAAAGGTCTGTATAGTTAAAGCTATGGTTTTCCCAGTAGTGATGTATGGAAGTGAGAGCTGGACCAAAAAGAAGGCAGATCGCCGAAGAATTGGTGCTTTTGAATTATGGTGCTGGAGGAGACTCTTGAGAGTCCCATGGACTGCAAGAAGATTAATCTGATCCATTCTGAAGGAAATCAGTCCTGAGTGCTCACTGGAAGGACAGATCCTGAAGCTGAGACTCCAATACTTTGGCCACCTCTTGAGAAGAGAAGACTCCCTGGAAAAGACCCTGATGTTGGGAAAGATGGAGGGCACAAGGAGAAGGGGACGACAGAGGACGAGATGGTTGGACAGTGTTCTCGAAGCTACCAGCATGAGTTTGACCAAACTGCGGAAGGCAGTGGAAGACAGGAGTGCCTGGCGTGCTCTGGTCCATGGGGTCACGAAGAATCGGGCACGACTAAATGTCTAAACAACAACAAGAAAACCAAGCAACAGTCTATCCAACTTTTCCTGATTGCTGTATGGAAAAGAACATGAATCTGACCTTTGAAGAGTTTTGTAAGGAAACCATCTAATAACTTACTAAACATGTGGTCTGCCTTTGTGCTAGGGAAGTGGGATTCGCTGGAAACGGCACATTTTAAAGGTTTTACAACCTATATTTCCACACTTTTCTTTGCTGAATGCTTTGCCATGGATTGGGGCTGCTCTGAAGTGTCAGCTAGAGCCCTGAATCAGATCAGGGGACCTGTGTGCTGCTTGGTTATGACATACCCTCCGACATTTCACTGATGAAAATAGGGACGTCCTATTCCATACCCTCCAACACCTCTCTGATGAAAATATGGATGTCCTACCATACTCTCCATTTCTCCAGTGAAAATAGGGACATCCTAAGGAAAAGCGCGGTATTCTGGGATCAAATAAGAAACTGGGACTTCTGTAATTCTGGGACTGTCTCTGGAAAATATAGACACTTGGAGGGCCTGTTATAATACATACCCCCGTCAAATGGTTACAATATGTAGGGCCCTGTGCTGTTAACATATGAGAGTGTTGGAGGTGAAATAGTTAAACAAGTTACCCAATCAGAACCCAGGAGGGTGGAGTCAGAGGGACTATAAAACCAGCTCTGGGAGGGGCAAAGGGAGGAGTTCGTTGGGAGGTTGGTTGGAGTGGGAGTGAATTGGGAGAGAGTTTGGGGGTAGGTTGAGTGAGTGTAGCGAAATAAGCTGAGTCAGGAACAGTTAGGGGCTAGGAAGACAAGTAAATATCTGAGAGGTGGTTTAGTGAGTGAGAGCAGGTAGCGGAAGTTATAGGTCTGGATAGGCACACCGTGATTGTAATTGACCGATACCATTTATGAAACCACATGCTTGTTAAACCGCAATAAATAAACAGAAGTTTATGTTCTAATTTAACCCTGACTGGACTCAGTATTGTACCAGGTAGGGCCTGGGTGGTGGCAGCGAGAAATAAAGTGGTGGCACAGGGATCAATAGACGGTGAAACGTCCGTGGACCCTGTGTGATCGCCACAGGCCCATCCAGACAGAAGGTTTTTTGACAGGTGTGAATTCCCGCAACAGGGTGAGCTTCCGTTGCTCGGTCCCTGCTCCTGCCAACCTAGCAGTTCAAAAGTACGTCAAAGTGCAAGTAGATAAATAGGTACCGCTCCGGCAGGAAGGTAAACGGTGTTTCCGTGCGCTGCTCTGGTTTGCCAGAAGCGGCTTAGTCATGCTGGCCACATGACCCGGAAGCTGTACGCCGGCTCCCTCGGCCAATAAAACGAGATGAGCACCACAACCCCAAAGTCGGTCACGACTGGACCTAATGGTCAGGGGTCCCTTTACCTTTAATATGTCATTAATGCAACAATAGTGCATTGGTAGTAGATTTATACTGGACTTTCCGAACATCATTTGGCTGCATTGGTTGTTCTGTGATGCTTCCTGCGTGTTGCTGCTTTATTGCCATTTGAAGGAATAATCTTGCATGACAATCTAATCTAAGTGGTGCCAATAAAACAACAATAACAGCAGCAGCAGCAGCAGCAGCAGCAGCAGCAACAACTGACACATTTGTGTTTTTATGATGCTAGCCACTCTGAGCCTGGCCTCGGCCGGGTAGGGCAGGATACAAATAAATTATTATTATTATTATTATTATTATTATTATTATTATTATTATTATTTACAGGATTTCAGCAGGATGTTACAGGACATGCAGTGTTTGGAAAAGAAGCAGTAGGTCTTCCTCAAGACTTTTGGAGGTGCAAACAGTATTAATAATAAATAATAAAAATAAAAATAAGTATTGAAAGCAGGATCACATATAGCTTCCCTGATACCACTGTGAATACGAATCATCATGAATGTGTAATGAAAAGGATGCCTGCGGGGGCCTGCAAGGGATTTCTTCCCTTTGTTCATTTATTTACAATTATGAATGAAATAGCCGCTGCTCAGCCAGACTGATGTTTACCTAGCTAGCTCTGCCACTTAAGGCAAGAAGGAAACAAAGAAAAAAAGCAAGAGGTCAGAGAGCAGACATTATAAATAATTAGGCCCTGTTGAAACGATTCAAGCGACAAAAGTCTTCTGGAGAAAAAAATATCTGAATGAGGAATGTGTCCTGCATCTGGGAATATAGCAGACATAAAGGGCAGTGTGTGTGAGCCTCTTACAAACTTAAAAAAAAAGAAAAAGCAGAATACAAGCAGGATGATGCTATTATTGATAATAGCTAACATTTGTATAGCATTTTCAAGTGTTCAACCTGTTTCGCATGCCTTATCCAGCCGTAATCTTTACAAGAACTCATATTCTATGACCGTCCACATTTCAAATGGGAACTAGGGCCGGGATAGACAGAGGAGCTGTTGTTTAGTCGTTTAGTCGTTTAGTCGTGTCCGACTCTTCGTGACCCCATGGACCAGAGAACGCCAGGCAATCCGGTCTTCTACTGCCTCCCACAGTTTGATCAAACTCAGTTTAGTAGCTTTGAGAACACTGTCCCACCATCTCGTCCTCTGTCGTCCCCTTCTCCTTGTGCCCTCCATCTTTCCCAACATCAGGGTCTTTTCCAGGGAGTCTTCTCTTCTCATGAGGTGGCCAAAGTATTGGAGCCTTAGCTTCACGATCTGTCCTTCCAGTGAGCACTCATGGCTGATTTCCTTAAAAATGGAGAGGTTTGATCTTCTTGCAGTCCATGGGACTCTCAAGAGTCTCCTCCAGCACCATAATTCAAAAGCACCAATTCTTCGGCGATCAGCCTTCTTTATGGTCCAGCTCTCACTTCCATACATCGCTACTGGGAAAACCATAGCTGTAACTATACAGACCTTTGTTGGCAAGGTGATGTCTCTACTTTTTACAGAGGAGCTAGCCTAAAGCTATTCAGGAAGTTCATTGCAGAGGTGAGATTTGAATGTGGGACTTCCTGATTCATAGCTCTGTCATTGAAATTCTATTCAATATTGATCCAGAGCAGATTCCAATGTATAGTTAGCAGAGTAACAACTTAAACACATTGCAGGAGTCCCAAAAAATAGACCAGAGGCGATTAATATTTCATCCAGCAGAGCTTTACTGCTTCTGAAGGCAAATGAGCATAATGGTCACAAATCCAATACATTCAGGATTGGCACTGTCAATAAGAAATCCAGTTGCAGCAGACTTAACTTAAACTTACAATAACTTATAACAAGTCTAAACTTTAACACTAAGCATATTATGTATAGAACACCACACCAGAAGGAAAAGAGAAGAGAAAGTGAATCTCATGCTCCTTCTGGCCTTACTTTTATAGTCAGCATGACCTTGACCAGGCATGGCCAAACCTGGCCCTCCAGCTGTTTTGGGACTACAACTCCCATCATCCCTAGCTAACAGGACCAGTGGTCAGGGATGATGGGAATTGTAGTCCCAAAACAGCTGGAGGGCCGAGTTTGGCCAGGCCTGATGACTGAAAGAGATAAGAGAACCAGTTTAAGCCAGCTGTACTCAGCTTCTCTGAAGGAATAACCCAAACATCATGAACCTTCTGCCTGTTTCTTTCACACAGAGACACTACCAGAACCCTCTTGAATTAAGTAGAATAGGAAATATATCTACACATCAGATCAATACTTTCTGTACTAAGAAATGCAAACTGACGAGCTCAGCCTCAGACATAGCAATCTTACCTGGTGGTCCTTCCCTTCCATTCCGGAGAATATCAGGTGAACAGTAGGACTTTGGATGTAGCAGATCAAACCCCCTCTGGTACTGCCGCAACATGCTGCTTTGACATCGGAACACCAGTGGAAGAAGGGCAGTGGCAAGTGCTCATGGGATGCCCTCTCAAGGTATACAACTGCACCAGCTCACAGCATAGTATACCGAAGTCATTATATTAGCTGATTCAGAGACCAAGGGTGGATCTACATTGATCTAATAGAACGTTATATTTAATAACGTTAAAAACCTTTAATGGAGTTTTCCATTGCCAGTGGAAAAAACACATTTTTACGGTTATAAACCACAAATGTCAATCTGCCCCAAGACTGCAATACAAACCTGCTCCTTCCACCACCAAGGCTCTGTGCAACAAAGGTGTGCGAGAGAGATTGGGCCCAGTCCCTGCGACTACTTTGGACTGACACAGTGATTGGGCATGGATCAGACTCCAGGATCCTGACCCACTCTCACCTCCACCCATAGGTGCCATCTTTGGGGGGGGGCCTTGGGTGCTGAGGCACCCACAAAATTTTCACTGTGGGTGCCCGGCCAGGTGACCCAATGTGTTGGGCGCTGTAGCAGGGTGCTGTGTTGAGCCCTCTCGCGTTGGCAGCAACATGTGATGTCATGTGTGGGCCTGACATCACACACACACACAGGGCAGCCATAATGTTGGGTGGAACCCGGTGTGCCCAACTGATGCCCTGGCCATTGAATATTCCATTGTAGGGCTATCCACTGGGTTCTGCCAGCAGGGATCCCAATGGTGAGCTGAAAGGGGAGGTGTGTGCTGGTGTCAGGCAGCCACCTGAGCTGGCAGAAGTAAAGGGGAGGCATACTTCTGCTCAATCTAACCCCCCTCCCAAGCCTGGCATAAAGTAAGTTTGGACTTCAGCCTAATTTGTGAACTGCACTAGTGCAGATGCACATGAAGTCAAATGCAATAGTACTACCTAGTAATTGAATTGTGTGTGCTCATAAATTAATTGAAGGGCACTTTAAAATGGTAATGGTGTGTGTGTGTGTGTGTGTGTGTGTGTGTGTGTGTTTAATGGCTAATTGCCCTTTTAAGTAAGAAGGGGGATTCTAACCAAGTTCAACTGAACATAGTTACAGTACTTAATTCGTTTTGGAGGTCCGTTCTTAACCCGAAACCATTCTTAACCTGAGGCACGCTTTCACTAGTGGGGTCTCCTGCTGCCGATTTCTGTTCTCATTCTGGGGAAAAGTTCACAACCCGAGGTACTACTTCTGGGTTAGAGGAGTTTGTAACCCGAAGTGTTTGTAACTCAAAGTCCCACTGTATAGCGTTGGAAGAGACCATGAGGATAATCTAGTCCAACTGTCAGGCTGCTGCCGGCAACTCCTGGCTGGTTGCCCAGGAACATACGAAGACAAGGAAATGTTTCTTACCGTCCACTTTTTATTCAGTATTTATAAAACCCAGTCTCTTGGATAATGGCATTGTCCTGAGTGAATCTCCACCCCCCCATCTCTCCCACTTCCTCATTCCTCATTCTCATCAGCTCTCCTACGGGTGCTGTTAGGTGCCCTCTGTCTTTGAGCTCTTTGCTCTCCTACTTTCAAGGCTCACCGGGTTATGGGAGGGGAGGTCTGGAATGCTTTCTAAAGACACTGTGTTCATCAGCTGTCACCCCCTGGTGCTTCCTCCTCCTCCTCTCACATTATTTCCCAATTTCTTCCCTCATCTGCATCTGAGCTGCGACCTCCCTCTAACCCTTATTGTAATTCTAAACTGTCTTCCTCTTCCTCCTCCCTGGAAGGGTCAAGCGGGGGAGGTGGTCTCCACCATTCCTCCTCTGCCCGGTCCCTGGCACCAGCTCCCCGAAAAGCAGGAATATTCTGTCCAATGTGGGGCTTGAAGCCACGACCCTGTGATTAAGAGACTTGTGCTCTACTGACTGAGCTATCCCAATCCTCCTCTCCTGATCAAAAGGAAGCCTCTAAGCATACTCAACAGAACACAGTTTGATTTGATTTGCAGATAGGACAGTCTTTAGCAAATGCGGTGCCATGGTGCAAATATCCGCCCAGCGCCCCCAAATTACCACGGATAGTGTTGGGGTGGTCATAGCGGCTGTGGCGTTTGCCCGTTCATTTAGAAAATGTTTGAACAGGGGGGAGAGATAGTGTTAAAAATATAGACCAATAGGAAAGCCGGAGCGAAGCCTACCTGTGTATAAAAGGGCTTAGCTCGAGGTTTGAGTTAGTTGTTGTTGGGAGTTGTTGGTGGGTAGTTGGTTGGTTTTAGTGGGTTGGCTGGTTGGAGAAGCAGCTGGTAGGCAGTTGGTAATAGAGAGACAGTTAGGGCAGTGGGTTCTTGAGTGAGGGGAGGTAGAAGAAATAGAGAGAGGAAAATAAGACTGAGAATGTAAAGAGCAACAATGTTTGGAATGCCGTAAAAGTTTGTTTGTGTCTGAAATAAAATACACTCTTCTTTATTAATTGAGAACCTGACTGAGACTGAAGTGATCTTACCAGGGAGGACCTGGTTGGTGGCAGCAGATTAGTGGTGTACGGGTCAATAGTCCGTGAGACGACTGGGGGCTCTGTACAAACGCCACAGCGGCGCACTGCCAGCCATTGGGAGGGGCGCAACTCTCCTCCATGCCGTTGCAGGAGAGCGATCGCCACAGAGGCTTGGGAGGGAAGCTGCGCGCCCGCCAGCCTTATGGTTGGCGGGGCGCAGCTGGTGGGAGTGCAGGGGAAGGGAAGGTGACTGGCAAAGCTGCGCAGCTCCCCTACTTGCTGGGGCACCCCTGAGAGACCGGCGCCCTGGCGCAATGCACCACTAAGCCCTATGGGAAAGACGGCTCTGTTTGCAAATCTGTAGGGTGATCACATATGGGGTCACTGGGAGTATCCCTACACAGTTTGCACCATGAATCCCTACACAGTTTGCACCCTCGCTTATTCACCAAAACACCTACAGAACATTAAGGCCGTACATCATGGGTACTGGATATTTTATGCCACTCATGTGTCCCTGTGCATTGTTGGCACCACTGAAATTGAAGATCCTGAAAGCTAAATTCTACATGGCTGCTGCAACAACACCTGACTAATGGAAGCAATATCAGATCTGAAGGGGGGAGGGAAGTATATGCCCTGCGAATGGGTATGATTTGTGCGAAGCACAAGCCCTGGATGTGGCGAGACAGAAGTGGAACAGCTCCTTAGAATCCCGAGAGGAAAATATAGGTTTCCTTGAAAGCACAGCCTCAAGGAGCCAGTCACGCAGCAGCCTTTCAGTTCTTGCTCCTCGCAAAACAGCAAGCGCCTGTTCGGAATAGACAAGATGTGGCGTGTCACCTCTGATTAGTGAGATGCTAAAGCATCACTACACGACTGCCAGGGTGGCCGCTTGGTGCAACGAGAAGCTAAAAGGAGCCATAATAATGTCAAAGTGACACGAGCCGAAAGTGTTATACATGAGGAGCCACATTGTGAGAACAGTTTCTGAAAATCTTGGGTCCAGAACTATTATGTGACCCTCTTAAAACCCTGATTGTGGACATAAAGGGTGGTGATCATGATCATGGGGGTCGTGGGGTTAACAACCTTCTGGCCTGCACTCCTGAAGCTGCCACTAGCAGGGCCAGCCCCAGCTGGTGATGGTGACTTCTCAGTGAAGTACCTTCAGGCTTGAACTGTCTCCACCCACCTAGACCAGCTACTGGAGCTTTCTGGAGAGGAAGGCATTTGAGAACTTCCATGTTTCAGCTGAGCCTTGTTTGAGCAACAAGGTGTTCCTGAACTCTGCTGTGTTCCTGTAAAATTCATTGCTGGCTGCTCATTTTGTCATATGGTCCTGGCTTACTGGCTGACCCAACAGCACCTGGTTCCTGGCTCACTTCAGACTGCTACCTGTGGCCCAGTCCTAATGTCCAAAGAGGTTGTGCATCTCCCAGAAGTGTGAATGATGCATGGCACAAATGTGCTGGCTGGGATTGATGGGAGCTGTCATCCAAAACTGTCAGGGAACTGACATCGGAGCGAGAGGCGAAGGGGAGGCTCCTAGATGATGCTGGCGAAGGACCCAGCAGCAGGGGGAGAAACAGCTCAGTAGAGGGGGAAGCAAATCAGCGCAACACCAGGGATAAATGGGGGCAGATGGGGGAATCGGAGAGAGGGCTCCAGGACTCTTCACTGGACCTCAGTGAGGAGGGGACAGGTCCTCCGCTACCCACGCCCTCCCTGCGCAGAAGACTCCCACGCAGTGAGAGGAGGAGGAGACTGGGTGTCAAACAACTCTTATGTTGGAAGAGGTTCAAGAAACGCCCACTGACGGATTCTGCCAGCGACTGAGGCAGCCACGATGAGAAAGGGCTGTGCAGTCAGAAAGGTTTAACAAGGCAAATTAGCCTAGAGAGGCACCAGTTTACGCACGAGTAACTCATACTCATTACAAAAACATTTGGAGGAAACCAGCTTGATGAAGGTCAATGTATGAGCTGAATCCACATATCTTACTTTAACGTGAGGAAATCTACACATTTATGTGTTCCAGCCAGAGTCTGGTACAGTTATAGGTCAAGCTAAGAGCAAGGGCAGTGTGTGGGATTGGGAGACCAGGGTTCAAATCTCCACTCAGCCATGAAGCTCACAGGGTGACTTTGTTTTTGTTTTTTAAATTATTTTCTATTCGGTTTTTCCAGTTAATATTTACATTCAAAATCACAAACAAATGGGGGGGGGATACAAGCTTCTTTCAACTCTATAGACTTCCCTCTACCCTTCCGTGGGTTCCATGTTCATCTTTTTCTGCTGCATTTTTTGAGTCACCCTGTTAACTGATTATCCATTACATCCAAAGTCTCTGTTACATTACAAGTGTTATTTAGGTCCTGTTAAAGTGTTCAGTTGTTTACAGTGTTCTTCCAAGTACAATATTATTTTTCCCCATTCTTTATTTAAACTTTGCTCTTCCTGATTTCTGATTTTTCGCGGTCATTTTCACCATCTCAGCATAGTCCATCAGTTTGGTCAGCCATTCCTCCCTGGTAGGGACCTCGTCATCTTTCCATCTCTGAGCTACAGGCATTCTGGTGGCTGTTGTTGCATACATAAACAGTCTTTTCTGCTCTTTTAGTACTTCTGCACCTACAATTCCTAATTTTAAAAAAGCTTCTGGGTCTTTTTAAACAAAGATTATTTTAAACAATTTTTTTAGTTCATTATATATCATTTCCCAGAATACTTTCATTACCTTACAGTTCCACCACATGTGATAAATATAAATATAGCTTTTATATTCCCTACGCGCAGCGTTGAGCTTCCTCTTTTCACTGCGCGCATCGGATCACCCGACCTTCCTCCGTATTTTCAGGTTGTTCGCGTGACCTTGCTATGCCTGTCATGGGGTCGTCTGCTTTTGCGGCAGGGGCCCAGTAGGAATTTTGTCCATTTGGCTGATTGGCTGGGCCATTTGGTTTTTGCCTACTGCGTGGCAAATCGTCACAACTTGTAAGGTTGCAGTTAGGCATTGGTTTGGGAATTGGTTGGTGGAGGGGTATGGATTGGCTGTGCCTGCCCCTCCAAAAATGCTGCTGCTGCTGCAAGGGTTTTCCGTTAAAGGAACCCAGCGGCTCGTCATGCTTTTGTCCGAACCCCTGTCAAGGGGCTAGGGACACACAAGAGCCCCTGGGAGCATTTGGGGAGAGGTGAGGGCATGGTTCCCAGTCCCGTGTCTCTCCCCAAAATGTTTTCCCTTTCTGACTTTGCGGGCGTGCGAATATCAGTCTGTCCCTGTGCGGGGTCAGATAGTCGCAACCAATGCCTAAGCGACCACTCACATTGCTTGTAATTTTAATAAAGTTGTGGCCAAAATTATGCCAAAAACCTTAAACTAAAATCATGTGTCAATTGTGTTTTATTGGGAGTGTCTCGGGGACCTTGACACGCAACCAACCATAGTTCTGCAGTTCACCGTAGTTAACTGCATGTCCAAGTTCTGGTAATAATAATAATAATAATAATAATAATAATAATAATAATAATATTTATTTATACCCCGCCCTCCCCGGCCAAGGCCAGGCTCAGGGCGGCTGACAAGCAATAATAAAAACAAGTTGAATGAATACAACTTAAAAACAAGATTAAAATACAACAATTAAAATATTGAAACATTAAAATATTAAAATGCAGCCTCATCACAGGAGGAGAAAGGAAAAAGAAAAAAGAAAGAGGGGGAGGGAATCAAATTGGCTCCAAGCCAAAGGCCAGGCGGAACAACTCTGTCTTACAGGCCCTGTGGAAAGAAATCAGATCCTGCAGGGCCCTGGTCTCATGAGACAGAGCGTTCCACCAGGCTGGAGCCAGTGTTGAAAAGGCCCTGGCTCTGGTTGAAGCTAATCTAACTTCCTTAGGGCCCGGGACCTCGAGGGTGTTGCTATTTATGGACCTTGAGGCTCTCCGTGGGGCATACCGGGAGAGGCAGTCCCGTAGGTACGAGGGTCCTAGGCTGTGAAGGGCTTTAAAGGTCAAAACCAGCACCTTAAATCTGACCCTGTACTCCACCGGGAGCCAGTGCAGCAGGAAAAGCACTGGGTGAATATGCTCCCATGGCAGAGACCCCGTGAGGAGCCTCGCTGCAGCATTCTGGTAGATTTCCTTCCCTTGCCATCTTGCCCTGGGATGCTTGAGTGAGAGGACTTTCTGTTCTATTAACAAGGCCTTTCTCTTAGCTGCTAAAACTGTCGGCTCAAAAGTGCTTGTGTGCCCTTGTGACACACAGCTGCTTGTTACGCAGCTCCAAAATAAACACTTCAGGAAAAATTTGGAAGGGTGAGTCATGCACGAATGCCTGCAACTGTCTCTGAGATGGCATTTTGACATTTTTGGGCACCGGAAGACAATGTGCTTTTTCTGCAGAGTGCTTCCCACACAGGTCACTGTGGGTGGAGGTGACCC